CATGCATATCATGTTTCATTGTAAATTTGAGTAAGGTTGTTGGTTGTTACGACGTAAATAAGTTATTACAAGGAAGATAAGTGCACCAAGACCAGTCGCAAGAATCATACCACCAATAAATGAAAGACCATCAAATTTACGACCTAAGAAAAACGTTTATTTATAAGGCTTTAAGTTAAAATTTAGATGATTATTATACCGGGTGGCTTCGATGTAGTCGTTGAAGTTTGCTTTGTTGTTGCTGTTGTTGCATTTGTTGTATTCACCGTTGAAGCTGTTGTAAAAGCAGTTGTAAAATTAGTTGTAGTGTTTCCGCTTGTAGTTAAAGCTTTTGTTGTTGTTTGACTAGTTACAGGCGATGCAGTTGTGACTAAATTAACAATTAAAATTTAGTTTAAATTAGGAGATATCAACATATTAGTTAGTCAAATAATAAGCAAGATTTTTTAAAAAAAAATCATTACCTGTTGTTGCGTTTGTTGCTGTAGTAGTGATATTAGCTGTTGTAATTAAAGTAGTCAATGTAGTGGTTATATCAGTAAAGTTGCTGCTACTTGTTGCATTGGTTTCATTCGGGGATGCTTCATAAGTGGATACAGCTATAGAAAAGAAGAAGCATATTGTCAATCAATTAGGCAGAATATGGCGAAACAATGAGTGAAGAAAACAAGCATATGTATTAATGAATGAATGAATATATAATTGTCTATTAATATTCATTAGCTTCATTAAAATACTATCAATCATTTTACCTATTAAAATAACCAAAAGTAATCCAAAGATATTCATTTTGTAGGCTATGAACAATAGGTCTTAATCTAAAATAAATAAATCAATAATGATAAAAAGAACGAAGAAGAAAAAGGATGATATATCATCAAAGCATAGAATAGATAATAGGAGAAATGAATCCTTCTCGTATTACATGGAACTTTGATAAAAGTAAAAAAAATTAAATTAAATGATAGATAGACAATTATCTTCAATATATATAGAAATTAAATAACTGTTTTTGAAAAAACTATATGAAGAGTGAGTGAGTTTAGACTATATAAACGACGTGTCATCAACAGTTAATGATAGCAAGTAACAGCTTGTGTTGTTTCTTTGTAAAAATAATGGCTGAAAGAACAGAAAAAGAAAAATGTGCCAACGCAGTCTCCAGATGTACTTCATAAAAAAAACACATTCATTATGAAAAAAATAGAACATTTTTTTAAACCCACGCATGTAATAATATTCTTTATTAATAATTTTTCTTTATAACATATGTACATCGCCTTAAGTCACACATGAACGAATAATGATGACAAAATTAGTCATTCTAAACTGTCATATACAAAAGCGTATAATAATATTTGTACAAAAACCTTGTGAAATTTCAAGCTATATGAAAGAATATACTATATAAATCAGATATTTGTGACATCTATCGATATGCTCATTGAACTTTTGATCATTAAAAAAAGCGTGAATATGAATTTTGAAAAGAAAAATTACAAAATCATTCTTCTAATTACTTCAATCTCACGGTTGAAACGAGCAAGGTAATGTTCAATTTTAGACGTGCGTATATATGTCGTTGGCAAGTGCACGCATGTGAGCTCAATTTTCTTTTTCTCTACTATTCAGTTTACCTTCGTTCTTATTGATCGTTACGCTTGGTAGATTTCCTCTAGCTATCAAACGATAACTTCTTTTCGTTTCTTTTTTTATTCTCGTGGTCACGACAGTTCGCACTACACTACTACTTAACCTTGAAATAATCTCCGACAATTTCTTTTTTGTGTGTATTAAATCAATATGGCAGCACGTAGTACATCATCATCATCATCATCTTCAGAAACTGAAATCACATCTGAACGTATTCGTGCAACTAGTGAAACATCTGGAGATATAACTCGTACAGAATCAAATTTACGTGCAGATTCACCAACCAATACAATAGATGGTACTTCAATTGCTGATACAACTACTGTTCGAAGTGCTTCACCAACAGCAAGTCATGTATCCGGAGCACATACTCATACAACTTTTGATTCAGTTAGTGTTGCCACAGCAAATACAGGTTTTTCGAATGCAACAGCTATATCACAACCACAAATAGCTGGTGGTATACCAATAATTCGACCACCTGGTTTACAACAACAGCAACTATCAGGTACAGGTATTGGAGTATTCGGACCACAAAGACCAGCTGGATATCCAACACAACCACCAGGTGGTTCAAGTGGTAGTATCAATCAACAACCAATTCAAATTGATGTAGCAGCAGCACAACAACAATATCAACAACGTGGAATGCAACCTGAAATTAGTCCTTATAGTAAAAAGGAAAGATTTATATTGATAACTCTTACTAATTTGAACTTTTTTTAGGTGGTTCAACAACATCATCAAGTGCTGGATCATTATCAGTTTCAGCTGCTACTTCTTCTCATCAAAATCCTCGTTTTGATGCAGCTAAAGCTGTATTTAATCAAGTAGATGCAAATAAAGATGGTTCAATTAGTCGAGATGAATTTCAATCATGGGCTCAACGTGGCATTAGTCCAGGTGGTTCACAACTTAATCAACAACAGCAGCAACAGCAACAACAACAACAACAGTATATTTCTTTTGATTTATAATAATATAAGAAGAAAAAAAAATGTTTTTTTTTTCAAGATTTCCAAATCAAATTCCAGCAAGTCAAGTTTATAATGAATTACTCGGTCCTGATGCTTTTAAAGATGTTATATTAGATATTGATTATGGTGCTATGGCAGGATTTAATGTTGCTTTTCAATCAGGTGGTGATTTTGACAATGGTCAATTACCACCCGGTATTAACGTTCGTCCAGCTTATACAACCGTTGATTCACTTAATTATCAACAACATATGTTTAATACAGCACGAACAATAAATGCAAGTGGTCAAAATGATAGTTTTGATTTTAGTGGTGCGAATAATAGTTCTTATGGTGGTAATGACGGACAACAACAACAACAGCAACAACAACACCAACAATTTGATGTTGCTCGAGCAATGTTTAATCAAGTTGATACAAATCGAGATGGTTCAGTTAGTCGAGAAGAATTTCGACAATGGGCTGCTCAAAGTAATCCTCCTCAACAAAGCCAAAGCTATGGTAGTACACCATCATATTCAACAGGAGTTAATTATCCAACAAATTATGGAAATAGTGCTGGTGGAGATGGTGCTAGTAACAGTTTATACCGTGCAACTTTATATGATGGAGCAAATCCAGCTGTAGCAAATATTCTTCAACAAAGTGGACTTGGACAAGTTGTACCAAATTAATAGTTAATTGTATAAAGAAAAAAGAAAAATCAAACTTTTATATTATGTCATCCGTCCTAGCCTAGTTATATTTCTCATAATCTTATTATTCATTCTATCCTTTTCTTTTCTTTTCTTTTCATTTCGATAATAGATTTCACTTTTTGTTAGAAGATTTTATTCTAGAAGTGAGAATAAAATAAACAAAAAATATATGATCAATGTATTCATTATAAATCAAGTCAGTAGATTTTAGATAAATGAATTTAAAGTTTTATTATTGTCAAAAATCATATTTCTAAATAAATCGAAAAAATATTTCTTTCTATTCAGTCAAAAAAAAATGAATATTTATCAGAAGAATATGAATAACAGTTCAAAGTCATGTCATTCCATTTTTATGTATGATCTATGCAAATAACGGAGCAATTTGTTAAACTTTCCATAGTCGGAATTGAAGATATATTGTCATTAAATATAGGTTTTTGTGTAACTATTGATAGAGATCGTGGTAGTAGTAGTTTGATTCTATTAACGAAATCATAATGAATTATGTCGTCATTGTTTTTGATTAGTTATAAGTGTAACTGCTGATGTATTTAATAGATTCTCATTTGTTAAATTTGTGACAATGCAAGTAAAATTGTTACTACATTTAATTCGGAAGTAATTGTATCTCTATTATTCGAAGATATTGGAGTACGTTTAATACTAGTTATAATAATAACTTATGTTCATGATGTGAAGTATTATGTATAGTATTGTTGTGCATAACATGAAATAGAACAAACTAAAGCAGCTTTAATTTTAACTACAACTGCACTTAGGTATTATATATAAATATTAAATCACATCGCCGATATTGATATTGATTTCAACCTTGATCTCAATGATCAATCTAGACTTGATCAACTATAATAGAAACTAACTAAAACTTAGACCGACATCGAAATTCTTGATTTTATCTCAAATCTTTGTAGATAACTAATTGCATTTAATTATGATAAAAACGATTAGTATTGTAAAAATTTAATTAGGTATAAGTAAGAGATGGCGTTGAATTACAGCTATTATTTTAATCTATATCATTATTAAATGTACAATTACACGGAGAAATATTAGGATATATATTTGTAAGAATTGCTGAACAAACCATATAATGTATTACTTACAATAAAAATCAATTCGTTGTTATGCTTGTACAAATTAAAGGTTCTAGATGTAATCTTCATTTCTTTTTAAAATAAATTCTATGTAGAAAATGTCTTCGCACAAAATTACCAAACGCAAGAGTTTTATCAAATTCAGAATTTTCGTTCTAATGGACATCTGATTACCTGAATAAATTAAACTTTTCTACTAACACATATCGCACATTCACACTTAGGGTTATTCAAAAGACCTGGTGGGCAGTACTTTGCTTACGGAACGCTAGTGGATCTTTCATTCTGTTTTTCTGTGGTATTTAATCATACTTTACTTAATATCGTATAGATTTTAGAGCTTTTCTACCAGTATAAATGACGACGAAACAAATCTTATCAAAAATTTAGTATCGTAATATTAGTTGAAGTATAAAAAGCTACTTTCGCTACTACTTTTGGATAGCGCTACGTATTTTATGTTCTTAATCTAGATTTGTTTCATTCCATCTTTAGCGTATAACTCTTTTTTCGACCTTCTATATCTATATAGATACAAAAATAAATGACAACCAAAGAAAATTGTAAACATTAGATGAAACATTTCAGAACAAGTCTATTGATAATAAATTATTAATTAGACAAGCAATTTACTAACCAATAAAAAAGATAAGAAATATCAAGTCATAATTATGTATTTATAGATATAATTATTTTCAATGGAGAAAAAATTGTACTATTACACGTCATCAGTACGAAACGTATCGCGTAGTACGTTTTTCACTCATTTGTTTTCTTCTTATTATCGGTAAAAAAACAAGTAAATTCTCATCTTGATTTATTTATGCTTCTATAATTATCAAACAGTTTATGATCTACTGTATAAAACAGAAAAGAATTATTCTATTAATGTAGAACATTTTTTCTTATTGACGATAACACGAGCTTTTTCTCTATGCATGTCTTTATCAATAATTTTTCGTTTCAATCAAACTATATGATTACACTTCTCATTTAAAAATAGTCTTTCCAATTCAATAACAAAGTTTGATTTCGTTAGTAACAAATGTCAACAGAACTTTTAATAATTTATCAAAATAGTTTTTTTTTGCGGTTTGAATAGTATCTATTACAAAATATACTAACGTTTGTAACGTTTTACTCAAGTTTTTATATAGTACAAATATTATAATTAAGCGTTTATTTTGTCAAGGAAAAAAGTAATTTTAGCATGTTATTAAATTGGAAAATTGAGTTTTTTTCTCTTGCTATGAAAACATAATCATGATATTTTCTCGTAAGAAAAACTTCTTTTTCTTTGATTACTTTTGCATCAAGAAGGAAAAACTATTATTGTCATATTGATTGATAAGAAATAGATTGAGTAACTTTTATCAAGGCTATAATAATTTTTAATCGAAATAAAATAAACTTAGTCTTTTACTAAACGCTTTTCTCTTCTGTAGACTATTCTAAAGTTTATCAAATTTTAATCATAGATAGAGTTATACGTTTCGAAATGAATATTGACTATGTCAAAATAACTTTATTGTGAAAGAAAGAAAAACGAACAAATATTCAATATTTTTTATACATATTTAATATACATTTATTGATAATCTCATATTATTATAACATATATCTTATATTTGGAATATTTTTTTATCGCACACACATTATCCAATATACGCACAATGTAATGGATTTTTTTGAACATTAATAAGTCTTCTCATTGTTATAGTAACAGTACTTCGACGTTGACGTTTTAATAAGCCAATCATATAGAGTTTATTTCGTAAACCAGGCAATGATGATAAAATTACAAATGGTAAAAGAAACATTACCCAATATGTTAAGAAAAAAGTAATCTGTTGTGCTTGTACACCAACATGATTTGGTAAGCCTAAAAAACGTGCAACAGAGAAAAGCATAATTGGAAAATTTAATAATAAATAAAGTGCAGATATTGATAATAATTGAATAATCATTTTTCTATATACTTTCCAACGAAATACTCGATGACGACGACGTTTATGATGTACGACACGTAAAAGTAAAGCAATACTAAAAAAAGTTACAATAATTGTCGATAAACAACCATGAACTCCCATTTCCCATACACCTAATACTGGATGAAAAAGATGACATGGTGATGCAGCACATACAGGTAATTTATATTTATAATCATGTTTACATGGTGGGAAAAAAATAACAATTGTATAATAAGTAATTGAATAAAGAATAAGAACTACTAATGGAAGATAATGAACGAAAAAACGTTTTTTACGCGTTGATGTCCATTGATCATGAAAAACAAGTATATGTCTTTCAATTGATGTCCACGCAAGAATAAGTGAAACTGTATTATAAAATCCTAAATTAACTAACCACCATATAAGACAACGTGCTTGTATTTGTGGTCGAACTGAACCTTTTCGAATAAAATCCAGATACCATGGAATATCCGTTAATTGAAAACAAAGTGCTATACTTAATAAAACGATAATAGTATGATTATGTAAAGCATGACGAGAAGCTCGATTAATTAATAAATGATAAAGAACAAAAAGTGAACATATTATAGATGGAATATCAAAAATAAGTAGTAGCCAAAATCGAAGAGTTCTTGGCCAGTATATTTCAGTATTTTCAAAAGCTGTTTCACTACTATTTGTCATCTCGGTTTTGTTTGTTAAAAATCTTGTCCGTATATGTAGAAAAGATAATAATGTCTTGTCAGACAAAGCAACATGATGGAATAATAAACATCTTAATGACTATAGACAGCTATTCTTAATGTCACGCATCTATTTTCTTATTTATTATTCTCGCATGACAGTTAGTACGTTTGTTCCATTGAGAAATACATATTCTATTTCATGTAAAAAACAATCAATAAAAGAAAATAATTTCTTTTAAATAATCTAGCCGAATGACTATGTTCTCGCGACCCTGCTTATTAGTATTAACTATAGAAGAGTACAAGAAAACAATGTCATACTGTATCTAAGATATTAATAGATTGTTATAAAAATAGTTTTTTCTTAGAATAAACTTCTCTTATTTTACATAAAATTTTGATTGTAAATCAATCAAACTTTATAATTATAATAGTCTGTAAATAAAAACCTGATAAAGATGTGACCAGTACTCTTATCAATCTATTGATATTGATTTACTAAAAAGCTAGATAACATGATTATTCATACTTCGTCGAAAGATAACTATATAGTATATATTTTCTTACGAGCGAGACAAAGGTTCACATATTTTTAATTATCTTTGTATGCTTGGGAGCAAAGATGATTAATCGGATAGTCGTTGAGTGCATGCAAAAAATAATGATCATTCACATTCAATCGTCACTGAGGGTGGATGTGGGTGTGAGTTTGATTGTGTGTGATGAGTGATTGTAGGTATACATGCTGATGTGGGCGTGAGTTATTCGAAAATACACATACTCACCCACACCCTAAAAACAAGAAATATTACATTATGATTACTTTTCCTCTATACGGTGTCGACAAAAGGACTTTCAACCAACAACATAACTACCGATAGAAGTACTGTATATACGATAATAAGTTACTTAACGTTAAATATCTAAATGGAAAGATATAGATCCATCGAAGATCAACTCTTTCGTTTAATTAATTTACGAATAAATATAATATCAACTTTCGGTTTCTTCACAAGTGAAGTTTATAAGGCAACAATATAAGGATACGATCCATTAGTATTCTTAGTAGCAAAAGAATATAGTTAAAAAAAAAGATTGAAGTTATTGTTTGTAATACAGTATAGAGCGACACTGTTTCTTTTTTTTTCTATATCCGTTGATTAATCATAGTTTTTTTCCAATAATATTTCCACAAGATTGAATTAAGATTATTTGATAGATATTACAATTATATTATAGATCGAAAAGCGATCCGACAGTTGAGGATGTTTCCTCGTAAGTTCTACATAATTAAATTTTTGGTACAGTTTACTTATCTTGGTATAATTTACACAAGGAAATTTTAGGTCACACATCATCAGACTATTTCAATAAATTTGTTTTTTCAACTGATATTAAAAAATCGATTCTCTTTTATGAACTACATTAAAGCATATATTTTGTTTTTTTTGATTTGAAACATTTACAAAAGAAAAGGTAACAACAACAACAACAACAACAATACATAGATTAATTGCATAAAAAAAACTATTTTAATAATTACCAAAAATTTGGATCATCAATAATACCCAGTTTATTTCCTAATCGTCGAAATTTTGCTCGTACTTCTTCTTGCATTAAATTAAAACACATTGCCATTAATGATAGACCAAATAAAACATAAAGTGCACATATAACAAGTTTACCTTCAACTTGTGTTGATGTTATTGATTTACCTGGTACAAGATCACCTTGTTAAAAGAAAAAACAAAATAAGAAAATATTCATTTATTCTTAAGAAAAATAATTAATTTTACCTAGACCAATTGTAGCAAGTGTAACAAAACAAAAATAAGCACCATCGAGAAATTTCCAATTTTCCCATTCACTAAAAAGTACAGCTCCAAGTATTAAATAAGATGATAATAATGAAAGTGTAACACTAATTGGTATTGTTTGTTTACGATAATCAACATTAAAATTATCAACAAATTCAACCACATTTGATGATGGTGGACTTTGAATATTATCTGATAGAACAGTTGAATGAGTATTTGATGTTGTTGGGAGAGAAGATGATGTATTATGTGATAATTCAACAGATTTCAATGCACGAAGATTACGACGTTTTTTTACTAAATTACAATACGAACAACATACATTACAATAGATAAAACGAAATGCATCAGCCATCGTTGAACCAATATTTGCTAAACATAATAACATTAAGGGAATTCCAAATATCGCATAAATCATAGTCATTATTTTTCCATAATTAGTTTTACTAAAATACAAAAAAAAAGTCTACTATTTCTTCGAAATACTTCTGTTCATAATATTCAAATTGAGTATATAGTGCTCATGAAACATGTTAGGTATTCATTAAGAATGATACAAAATTATAGACATTTATTTATTATTTCAAAAATATCGATATAAATTCTTGAAATTTGATGATTTTCATAGCTCGAGACTATTATGATAACCTTAATTTAGAAAAATTTTATATTTTGTAATGATATATCTAATAATATTCAAGTAAACATCAAGACTAGTGACGAAATAATATTTATATTTCATCAAACAGAAATCAGTATCTGAAAGAAACGGTTCTACATATATTCTTAAATATAGAATATTCGTCATGATCTTTTCGTATTATTTATGCTATATACTACACAATAGAGGTAAGAAAAAACAAAAGTTTCCCATTTGAAAAGATGGGTGGGTGTGGGTGTACATATACTGAATAGTACGTTTTTTGATATCAGTTTCTGCTTCATAAAATACAAATATTATTCTGTCAAAAGTCATTTGATATGACCTTCTTTTTTATCATACATATATATATGTATATTATTATTAGACACTTGCTGATTCAAAATAAGAATATTAGAATAACAACTATAATAGAACTGTTATAGATTGATGTAAAAATAATTAAGCTTCAATAAACCATAAATATCAATTGAAACTATATTTCTCATATTCTATATCAAAACAAAATTAAAATGAACTATTCATACCAAGTAATATGTCCATAACCTAAAAAAATAATAATAAATTATAGATAAATTCTTTTTTGTTTCTTAATTAATTACCAATTGTTGTTATAACTGTAATAGCATAAAGAATTGCACCTGGAAAATTCCATTGTTTAATATCATCCTCATTACGTTCACCTTGATAACCACGTTTTGTTTGACGAACTAATTCTTGTTGATATTCTTCAAGAATTTGTCTTGCCATTGATGTCCAATTAGTTTTAAATAAAACTTTTGATTGTTCACTTGTATTAAATAATTTTTCAACAGTTATATGTAAACGTCGTTGAACACCTTCAGTAACTCGACCTTCATAAGGTGCTTCAAGAAATTGAAATACCATACCACCACCAAATGCATATGCCACAACAAGTAAACAAAGTCCCACACGTGAAAATATAAATGTTGTTAAAGATTTACAACAATTTTTACACTTAGCCATGCGTTGTGAATGAAGACTATCAGGTATTGAATTCTGTGCAGCACCTTCTTTTTGCTGCTGATTAAGCAGCTCATTTCGTCGTTGGTTCCTGACCAAATTAAAGAACATTATGATATAATTTCAAATACCAAAAACATTAATATATATAGTATAAATCAATTACAGAATTATAAAGATATCGATATCATTACTCAATAGAACAATAAGATAGAAATGCTTTTATGCTCACAAATTACTCGATCAAATTTCATATACACATATGTCTATCATCAATATGATCGATTCTATTATATGAAATGTTTAACATATGTTTTCTTTTTTTATGAAAATAAAAATAAAAAAGAATAAATCTGTTTCTATTAATCGATCTTTTTTTGTATTTAGAAATACTCACGAAAGATATCCATTTGTTATTGGAATAATAAGATTATCATATATACTAGAAATACTAGATGAATACTTTTCATCATATTCTAATGAAAATGATCTAGGTCGAGATTTAATAATTTCATCAGAAAATATAACACGTTTATCTTTCTTTTCAACTCCATACTTGTACATTTGATGAGAGCACTGAATGTTATGTATAAAAGCATGTACATGCTTTTGTTATATTAGTTAATAGATTTTCTAATTAAAAAACAATTTGCATTTGTTTGATTATTCAACACATATTATCAAGAATCTCTCTCCTAAGGATATGAATTCCAAGCAATCAACCAGAAATAATAGAAGAAAAGAACAAATAATAAAAGATGTTTGATCTTGAATAGATCACTAATACAAAAAAAAAGACAAATTATAACAAAACATCTACCTTTACTTGTTCTTGTTTCATTCTTCGATCGTTGTAAGCAATATTATTCTCAATTTGAATCGATAGGCTAATTCTAATACACTTATTTCTTTCGACGGAATAAAGAAATAAGTATTTCTATCTATCTATCTATATATATGTATATATTCTGTTTCTTTTTTTCTATTTTTTTTTGGGCATTCAATGAGCCGTTTCTTGTAATATCATTACACTTGATCGAGTGACACGTATAGGAAATCATTGGCTTACTCAAGAGGATGCGCAACGATTAATAAGCTTAGACACATACTGTCCCTCTTATGGTTAAGAGAGATAGATGAAGAAATTCTACATAAAATTTCTCATGAGATATAATAAAATGATTGAAGAAATATGTATATATACATATCCGTGCATGGAAGTTAAAGAAATAGTAACATCATTATGAGTAATTGATTAAGAGATATAATATTAATTCTCATGTGAATATTAGTCATCGTATGTATTTACATTGTAAGAAAGTATTAATTAATTTATAATATGATAATTTCAAACGATGATTGCTCATAGAATGTAAGTCTAGTTATGTATTAAATAATAATGTTACTATATTTTAGCGTAGATCTGATAACAGAATTCTTTATATTAATTAATATTGAAATTTATGTAAAAAAAATAGTAATTGAAAATGAAATAATGATTTTAGTCTGATCATGCTGATGGGAATCGATAAAGATTCGTGGAAAAAATATCTTGAATGTTTATAGAAATTTTAAACAAGTGATGTATATGTGATACTAATTGTCAAAAGAAGTTTCTCACAACAACACCACCACCACAGTGTGAATATGAAAAATCATTTTTATATTGACGTAAAAAAAATAATTGGTGTTTGTCTTCTATATCAAACTACTATGATAAAATGATTATATTGTTCGAGTAATCTCATCATCAGATGTTGAGATAATTCTAACTGAGTTAGTAATCATTATTTCTCTCAAATTACTCGCATAATGCTAGATTATGTCATACGTTGATTATTTAGCTAATTTCTGATTAATTAGTATTTATATGATTGCAAAAACTTTGAGTTACAGAAAATCTATATTATATATATATATGTACTTATTGGAATATTCTACCTACTTCAGCGGAAGGAATATCCATTCATTGTCGATTACTCTGTATCACAAAGACATCATCTGATTGCTGAATTATCTTTTTTTTGGTTTATGCGTTTATTAAATGTTACACTCTTGAGTGCTTACATACTAAGAAAAAAGAAAAGAAGAATAGAAGAAATGGTGGGAGAAGGGGTAACATTCTATCGGTTGAAATAAAGTAAGGTGCAAATGATTCATTGAGTTCTAACTGAGTTATCCTTCATAATATATTATCGATAGGGGCTCATGTTGATTAGGTAGGGGATTTAGTTTTTGTTTGCTGCTGATTCCACGAAATTAATCCAATTGATCAGCAGCGACTCGTGTCTTGTCAATAGCTGCTTCACTCTCCTCAGTCTAAAATAATGCCCTACTGAGTCATTTTTTTCTTTTTGAAATTTATCCCAATAAAAAATGTCATGAAGAAAGTAAGAGGATCCCAGGTCAGTCTTATATATTTTTTCTATTCGCTTTTTAATGTATCTTTGTACATAGAACTCTAGGGGTTTTTCTTTAGTGAGTTTAAAAAGGTCAGTTGCGGAAACATATGGGCATCTATGGACCAGCCGAATCGCCACTCGGAATTTCCTGTCCAGAATTGCTGAATTATCTCATATATATATAAGTAATAAAACATTTTTAATTGAAACACTCTATTTCTTTTTCATTAATAAAAATACATCTTGACTTATTTCTATTTCTATTCTCTTATAAGAATGTCGGAATGTTATAATAGACGGATGTCTACAATACAATAGAAAAAATATGTCAAATTTAACTAACCTTTCAATTGATGTCATTGTTTTATTTCGAGAATGTATTTTGACCTACTAATTCCTCTCTTTTTCCCTTCTGTCTCTCTAGACGAAAACTAAAAAACATACGTTTGTACATCATTAAACGAGATAAATCTAATCATATGAATGAGTTTGTTTTCAATTACTACTTACCTCACTGCTATGCGTTGACGAAGGACATCAACTATCTCGTTGAAAACTCGATAATAAAGAAGAGACATCTGATGAGTATATATAATTAAATCATCGAATATTGAGAAGATAAGGAAAAGAAAACACAATATGTCGTTCGTCCAAATCAAACCAGATTTATTATTGTTTCATTTGAAAATCTGCTTCCAATCGAATAGTTATTCATCAAAAAAAATCTTATATATATAACAATAAGTGCTTGTCGATATACTCTGAACTATCGTATATGTACATATATATATCTATATATACTCATATAAGTCTGTAATAGCTTTCTAGAATATTATGCGATAGACGACAAGAACAATAGATACCATAAGAAAAAGAAAGAGAGGGAGAGAATGAGAGATATCGGCATTTAGACAACTGTTGAGTATATACTTTGGTATTGTTGTAAACATAAATAGTACTGTTGCGAATAGACAGTTATCAATTAGCAAACGTGTTTTATGCACCGTTGAAAATGAGAAATCACACTTTGGTATTATACTAAGAAAAATATATTTTACCTTGTAGATTGATATAGAAATTGAGAAGAATTATACATAGCATGATAAAAAGATCAATGCTATACTATCGATATTCTCAATAATAACATCTTTTAATCAATTGATTATAGTCGGCAAAGAAGAAAAAAATAGAATCATACATTTGGGAAAAGAGAATTTTTCATTTATTATTCATTTAGTAGTTTTCACAAAGATAAGAATTCAAGTAGGTGTGTTATTAATATAAAATAATCAAGTGTCATTTCTTGGAAAAGAAAAATGTGTTATAAACCTTTAGAACTATTATTGAGTATTTAACATATGAAAATAAACCAAGGATTTTGTCTCTATTATTATTTGTATGTTATAGATAACTATCTCTTTGTCCTTTAAAGCTGTCATTCTTCGAGTATGAATATTTATGATTAAGTATACTATGTCTTGCCGTAAAAATCTAAAGTATGGTTACCAATTTTAATAGATAATTTTCTGAATTGAAAATATATAATATAAGTTAGATAGAATTAAAGATGATGTACTTCCAATTAACAATGATAAATGCGTAAGAAAATCTGTTATGATGATTGATTTTTTTTGTATTATTCTAGAAGCAACTAGCAGTTAGTTATCACTATGATTGTATTATCGTTTCGCATCTGCAATCTTATTAACTCTTCCAGAAGAAATACTCTACAGAAGTTATTTAACAGCGAATTGTATTATATACTTATAGTTGCTTGCTTGATCGTACTTGACTTTTTTTTTTCTCTCGCTCTTCTATTTTGTACGGTAAGAATAGAAAGATATTGATTATCTACTGACGAATCTATAGACAAGACGGATGCGGCTCATTATTTTCTATCATTAATCTGCAAAGAAACATCATGATTTATGATCAAAATAACGATCTCTTGTACTATATATAAGTGAATGTTCAGTAGAGTTAGTCAATAAAAATATAGAATCAGGTGATTTTAAAAAAAATTAATTTATTATTTTTCTCACATTGAATTAAATTATATAAAAATATATTTGCAATGAGTGACATATTTTGACACATTAAATCTGATTGGTAATTTTGATTAATCCAATAAAATTTTATTATGATATTTTATGCTGAAGAGACGTTTATTTGTTCCGTTGATAATAGATTTATTAATTTTATATGATATGGAATAATATAAGTTTTTAGTTTTAGAACAAATTCTCAATGGCAGTACGTTCTGAACGTGAAAAATCTAAAATGCAAGAGAAATATCAAGTGATACTTTCACAAATGCTCAAAGAAGAAGATAATAAATATTGTGTTGATTGTGACACTAAAAGTAAAATAAGAGAAAAGTTTTCTTTGATTAAATAATTAGTTTTTTAATTTATTCAGGTCCACGATGGGCTAGTTGGAATATAGGTGTATTTATTTGTATTCGTTGTGCTGGTTTTCATCGAAATTTAGGTGTACATATATCAAAAGTGAAGTCAGTTAATTTAGATTCTTGGACAAGTGAACAAATTGCTGTAAGAAAAAAATATTTAGATTTTATCTTGTATATGAAAATTTCTTTTCTGATGAATAGTCAATGCAAGCAATGAGTAATAGTCGTGCACGTGCTGTTTATGAAGCCAATTTACCTGATGGATTTCGACGACCACAGTCAGATTCGTATGTAACAAAACAAGTGTTGATTAAATAAATTTGTTTATTTTATTTTTTTTAGAACATTAGAAGCATTTATTCGAGCGAAATATGAACAACGTAAATGGATTGCAAAAGAATGGATTCCACCTGAAATAACGGTGCCTATTGATGTCAGTGTGTTGTCTTGTGATTATTTTACAATACTATTTATATATTCTTGAATTATAAAACATATTTTTTTTATAATTTCTTAGCTTATTGAATCTGAAACACATCAACGAAAAATAGAAACAACATCTGATTCTAGACAAGTAATTTTATAGAAGTTATTAATTATAAATAAAATTATTTATTTAGATGGAAAAACATGCTCCTAAAATAAAACCATTTGCTACACCAGCAACGAACAATAATCCTGTACAACAAACTGGGCAAATATCATCATCCTCTATCACAACACCTATTGTGGAGAATAATAATCAAAATCTGTTAAATTTAGGTAGAGCCCTATTAAATTTTAACAGAATTTATAATTATATGCTTTTTATTAGATGAACCATTGTCATCTCCTACAAATAATGTGAATTCAACAACTGTATCTTCATCTAATATTCTTGATCCTTTACATGAATTATTTACAACAACAACAACATCTCAGAATAGTACTAATGGAAATACAACAGTACAAAATATTGATAAAGACTTAGAAAGTGCATTTTATTCTTCGAATGATTCTGCAACAAATAATAGTGGAGTTATGACTAATGAAAAAATTATGGCTTTATTTAATACACCTCAAACATCAGTAACAACGGCTTCAGGAATGAATATTCGACCAATATCAACACAACATTCTACTCGTACGTTTAATTCACATTAGTTAATAAATTTGTTGAGTAGAAACTATACAGAGATAAGGGTGGTTAAACGTAATGTGTCATCTGCTGTGTCTTCGGGAGTTTTTTTGTTCCATAGCATAATGCTTCTTATAAGAATAATCAAGACAAAAAAGAATTTATCACAGTTAGAACAGAAGGTTTTTATTTTCTTAGTTGGCGAATAGCTCGCTTCGAGTTATTAGTGTTTACTACCCATAACAGAGGATTGAATTTGTATGTCTTCATCTCATTCTTACCGCATAATACCTATGAGAGAAAGAGAAAAACAATAAAATTATTTTCTATACACATCGAATCGCTGTAAAAGGTTTAATAAAATGTGTTTTTTCTTGATTTCAGCTTCATCTACTGGTTTTGTTTATCCGCCTCCAGCTCAACATTCTCCTTTTGTACCTCCACAAAAATCCGTCTCATTTGGTAATAATCTCTATCAACAAGCAACTAATTTCGGATCTCAAATTCAAGTAAATCATATAGAAATACATTCTTTCATTGTTTAATTAAATTATTTTTCAGCAAAATTACCCATATTCTGTGCATCCAGCGATGGCTCACAATAATGCAAATATTCAAAATTCAACATCAACATTCACACATGATCAAGTAAATTATACACTTTTATTTATTTTTTACTTTCAATGTGTCTTTTCTTTATGAAATTAAATATTTAGTTTTCTCAATTTATGCCATTTACAAATACAAAAATGAATACTTCAACTGGTGGAACCTTTATAGCTAATACACCAATGCGCCCTATAACAGAGTACATGACAACATCATCTGATTCACTTTGGCAATGAGAATGTTTTTACTTTCTTTGCTTCTCTAAAAATGAAAATTTCATTTTTTTTTTCATTATTATTATTGTTGTTATTATTGTTGTATATGACTTATGTTATCAATGTTGTATTTGTAATAAAAAAGCGCTTAAATCGTTTATACTTGTTTTTATTCTTAAGTTTTACATATCAAAGTATTGTATGAATGCCTCTCAAGCAGTTCTTTTTACTAGTTTCACCCAAACTTCTTCTGGTGCGATGACTGATCGTTCACGAATGTTAAATTTGCTTTCGAGATGGTCACCGGGTAGAATTGAATACTCGCGAAGTAGTCGTACTAGTAAAATTTTCATCTCGATTAATGCAAAGCGCATGCCAATACAATGCCGTGGTCCTGCTCCAAACGCTAGATAAGCCATTGGATGTCGTTTGATATCATGACGTTCCGGAAAGAATACATAAGGGTCTTCAGGACCCCAAAGTTCACGATCGTAATGGACTGAATATACATCAGCATACACTACCGTACCTTCAAAGGATAAATTTTGAAGACTATGAGATATGATACTTTAGTGATTTAGAAAAAAATACCTTTTTCAATTTTAATTCCTTGTACGATTGTATCTTCAGAGGCACATCTTTGAATAGCTACATTTGCAATGGGATACATTCTCAAGATCTCAGAAACGAACTTGTCCATATAGGGCATCTGAGCGACTATATCATAGTCGGGATAAGTTTTTGCTTCTTCGTCAGATGTCTCATCGTTACCCAATGGAAGCTGATCGATTTCACTCTGAAGTTTTTCAAGAACTTCTGGATGTCTAGCTAGCTCGTATGTTGCACAGGCCAAAGCAGTTGATGTTGTTTCATATCCTGCTGCCATGAAGATAAGGATGTTGCTGATAATTTCTTCTCGAGTTAGCCGATAGTTTGCCTTGCTGTTGTTCGATACGTCATCCTAGAAGAGAAATATATTTTTAATGGACTTAGCATTCTATTCAATCATATAACATCTATCTTACATTAATTTTCTCTTCAGTTATCGCTTGTAACATTAGTTGCAGAACATCGACTCGTGAAGTAGGCATCTGCTGTCGTTGCTCGATAATTGGGTGTAGACGACTGACGAGCCACGGACCTGGTATTTCATGTAACTGTTTCGTTGATATCAAAGGTAAAATATGTATATTAATAAACGCTCGCGCCTTGTTCATACCAAGAAAGATTTTTCCAATAATATTTCTCATTCCAGGTGCAAGTTGAGCAAATTTGAAAACAATATGTGCCCTAAAGTTAGTAGTAAAAATCTCTTCCACTTTCTTGAAATATATATTATTTGGATTATTTTGTAAATCGGTATCGAGTCCAAATGCACATCGGCCTAAACAATGAGAAAAATGATAAGTAATCAAAACATTCTCTTAGCTTACGAAACTTTCATTCTTTCTCTCTCTCCCAAACATGCCTAAGAGTGTTTCTGCATATATAAGAATGCGTGAAACCTTATAGTTAGATTTTCAAGGTTTGTGATGTCCTAGAAAGATTTTGAAGATCTATTAGAACGATGACTACAAATTTCTCTAGCAAATAAATAATTCTTTATGAAGGAATTTTTTCTATGATTTGTGATTAGCATGAGAGTAAACTTACATATGACATCCATTGTCATTCGCTTATAGTATACATAGATATTGAATTGACTGTTGTTTGTTGCATGATCAGCTAATTTTTCCATAAGATTACTAATGCATCCATTGATAAGTGGACTCATCATTTTTAGTTTGGCTGCAGAGAATGTTGGATTTATTATATGTCGATGTCGACGCCATTTTGCACCAGATGAAGAAGCGACATCATTAGGCTTACGCACGGAAATCTCGTGGCGTCCTTGAAAAACGGGAAATTGTTTTATGAAGACTTCTTGAAGAAAATCAGGATCACTAACAACAAACGTAGGAACAGTTCCTTGATAAATTCCATAGATCTTCCCATATTGTTTTGTCCAGCTTTCAAGTTGACGATGAAAAGATGCACTATTCCACAAGGTTTGAAGATGACCAAAGAAGAAACGGAATGGTGGTGTAGGAATTCCACGTTGACTGAAATATTGATAACGTTGTCGCAGTAGAAAAAGAAAATAGATCGTGAGACCAATGCATATAAAAAGTAGAATTATGGATAAAAGTAACATTTTTTCTTATTTAAAAAATAACAAATCACATCTCTTTATATAGGTTGATGACGTACGACCTTTTTCTTCGTCATAGAAGTACGTTAAAGTATAAAGTGCGTTTGATAACGAAATATTACAGATTGAATCGTGCATGTCTTTTCGAACCTTTGAGACGTTTACTTCGTTGATAGCCGTCTCGATTAGGAAGAAGAAAAACAACTACAGTCAATATCTACAAAGCGCATTTATTCGTCCTCCTCGTTCGTACTGGTACGATAAGACGTACTTTTCTCTTTCATCACCATACAAAGGTGAAATTATATAAAATATTTTATGATTCTATTTCGTATTATTCAGTTTCTTATTGCCTTTAGTGATGAGAATCATTGAATTCTTTTATAAACGGAATATTTCCTTAAATGCGTTCTCGAGTTGTAGCAGTAAGAAGAAATAGATCAAAGGGGTGGATATAAGGTAAAAGTAACCACGCTCACACCCAAACTGAATAAAGCTCTTAGCATAACAATGACAAAAGATAAAATTCTATTTGAAATTAAAGTCAAATACAGTCCTATTACTAGAGTCCAGCGGTTCCAAAAAATTGCCAGAATCGGAAACAGAACTGCGGTTCCTATTCCGATTCTGGTTAGCAAAACTAGAAAAAAAGGTTCTCCTTTCGGTTTTCATCTTTCGAGATTTTCCATGTTTATTATTTCATTAAAAAATCAGGGTGTGAGTGTGGGTCTGAGCTAAAACAAGAAACATACACCACTACATTTCGTACCACCTCGTCATTCCGAAATTTCGTAGCAGATGTCTGTTACGACCTTCCGACAAAAAATTTATTCAAAATTTTCGTCACGAATATCGGAATGATAAAATTGAATTAAATAAACAGGATGTCCGTAATGAAATATGTTCGGATGATCGATGTGGGTGTGTGTGAGTGTGAAAGTCTATTAAGGAAAGAGCGACTCATTCACAGCCTTATCCACACCCACCAAGATGTGTCAATATATATTATATAATGAATTAATTCCATTGTCTAATGTTTGCTAAAACAAATCATCATTTATTTTAATAAATGGTTCATACCATTCCAGCAGCTAGAACTTCTTGACTCATGTTTTAACAACAAAATATGATAAAAGATTATGTTCTGTTGATAACATCTTGTTGACAATTGTCATCATGTAACTGTAAGAATACTTAGATATCAAGAAACTTTACATAGGAATTATAAGATAGAAGCTCGATGTTTTGGCTATCTCATCTGTTTGTAGATTGAGATGCATTTTTGTTGTGTTAAATAACTATTTCAAATAAAAATAGATCAAACTTTTCAGTTGTAAAAGCCAGCTAAAATATAGTTAGATATTATTCAATATTCATTACTGTGAATTCTTAGTCAAAACTTTGTGAGAGAAAATCTTTGTTAATTCATCATGCTAGCACATGAAATAGAACCAAATATAATAGAAGCTGTTACTATCAGAAGCTTCGATTCTCCCAACTTTGGTCGACAGTAAAAATGTCGAAATATAAAAATATCGAAGTAAAAAATGCTGAAGTATAAAAATGTCGAAGTGAAAAAGCCGAAATATGAAAATGATAAGATTTTGGGTGTTCGAAACAACTTAATGGTAAAAATAAAGAAAGACGTTTGAGAGTGGGTGTGAGTATCAGTGTAAATATAAACATTCATCTATATTTAGCCACACCCACATCCACACCCACACCCTCACCCTCACCCTCACCCTCACCCTCCCCACACCCTCACCCACACCCGTATCCACACCCACACCCTCACCCACACCATCACCCTCACCCACACCCTCACCCACACCCACACCCACACCCACACCCGTATCCACACCCACACCCTCACCCTCACCCTCACTCACACCCTTATCCACACCCACACCCATATCCACACCCACACCCACCCTTCGACATTTTTATATTTCGACTATTTTCAAATTCGACATTTCTACCCTTCGATATTTTAATATTTCCACTATTTTCAGTTCGATATTCTTACATTCGACATTTGTCTAATTTTTTTTCGACATTTTTACCTTTCGATCTTTATATACTTCGGCATTTTAGTTTTTCGATCAAAGTTGGGATTACCGAAGCTTCATGACTGATATGCGTTTGATAGTGTATATCTTTGTCAAACTAAAATACCAGACTCTTTATCGAAAGTACTGAATGTTTATTTGATACAGAAAATACACAGGCTTTATGCCGGTTAAGTCAAGATTTAGAGGCATAGAATGTCATCTGTTAACGTTAACAGTAAGTAATTCCTTCTTCATTCACACCTATCCTCAAGACAGTCAAAACATATTGTCATTTTTTAAGTCATATGTATAATTCTGCACCAACATCAGCACACCGATCAGATAAAGCAAAGGTTAAAATGTGTATTGTTAGATCAGTTTGTCGTTGGCGTAACTCGGACTGATCGAAATCGTAATAATTTGACGATGACTACCGCAACGAACTTACAGATGATCACTACACCACCGTAGAGAGAAACTATTGTTGTAATCCCTTCGATTAGATTACTTTGTTTGATATAAGAACGAAAACAAAATGAAGGTGCACACTTATCAAAGTAATTTTCATAGGATGAAATATTCACAAGTTTCTCCATCATTAGTTCATTGAAAACATCTTCAAAAGTTGAATTATAAGGGAAACGACTTGGATTAGCAAAGCTATCCAATGCTTGAGAAGTATTTGATTTATCCATACATTCTTGACTGTAGAGGCATGCGATTCGCGATTGCGAGAGAGCTTCGATTACATAACAACCCATCTGTAATCCAAGATGATCCTCGATGCATGTCGGAGTAAATCCACAACTACATTCGTCCATAATCTTTGGAACAGTATGCGCAGTATATCCAGAAACTAGATTTGACGGAACTGCGAAGACCCAACTGGTACCATAGGTAGTCATTAACTTGTTTGTAGTTGTCATCATGCGAGTCAATGCGAACGTACTAATTAACGCTTTTGGTACTGTCAATTTGAAATCGTTAGTAATTTCTTGAATTTGTTCATTTAATGAGGATGACGATAACAATTCAGTATTCACTAGATGACTTGCTAATAATTGATCGACTGAATCATAGACTGTGACATTAGATAGTGCACAGAGTGACTTGATCGATTGCAACTGTGCCAGGCCCGCATACCCATAGTTTACCGAAAAGAGTACAGACCAGAGAAGGGGATTACTCAAATATGCAGCCCATGCTTCTGAAACGAAGTCTCTCGAACATTGCGGATGGAAACTAGGAGTTAGGCTAAGAAACGAACTATATGGAATAGATATTTCTGAGCAAAAACAATGTAGAGAGTCGGGATACTGTTTGATTAGGTCTTCATAAACGGCTAGTGACGGTTTTTCAAATTTCTCTTCAATCAACTTAGGACGAAAAGCGTGACGTACATAGAGGCCATAGAGAATCACTATAACTAGAATGATATTTAATCGACGCGTCAACTTTTGTTCATCATTCCAGCCAAAAAGCTGTTTTAGAAACTGTAAAGATAGTTTCAAAGTAAATCCGTTGATGAATTTTTCAATTAATCGAAGGCCAGACCAGATGAACAGCTGAAAACCAATAGATAGGCCACCAAAAATACCAGTGATAATGATCACAATCTCCAAGAAACCTTGACGGCTGTTGTATTTGTTGATACACGTACTTGGAGCGCATTTACTGTAATAAGAAGTAAAATTGACATCCACTGACCAATCATCAATCATCAATTCATCGAAAATCGACTTAATCGACTTATTAGCTGTAGCTCGATTAAGGTTTGAATTAAGCGCTGGAAAGATCCAAGATTCGTCGAGAGGCGAATCAAAATATGGAAGAAAACCCATCATACATGATTCATTATAGAAACATTCCAATGTTGATGAAAATAATGCTTCGATCAGATAGCAACCCACAAAAAAATTAGAAATTGTATGGATTGGCTTATAACTGTCTCCATCATACTCGTAGATTTTCATGGGTTCGATACATGCATAATCTGTCGTACCACAATTACATTCACCATAATGTCGAGGCTCAGTTATTAAACTCCGTTCAGTTAGATTGAGTTGAAAGAAAATATTCAAACGATTCATCAGTTGATTTGCCACCGTGGTAATTCGTATAAGTTCCATTCTGCGTCTAAATTGACTACTAGTGAACGATCTCCAAGTTCCAATAGAGTCGTTCATTTTAGTTCGAAACGATTCCTGACTGATTACTTGTGAGTTGACAATCTGCCCCTGCAAAAAGATATCACGAGCATCATAGGTTGTATTATGAGCATGCTCACACAGCATTGCCAATGTTTGAAACTGAATACCAGCATATTTTCGATAGTCGAGTATGTACGAAGCAGCATTACCTGACGAATCACTGTACTTAATCCATTCTGGACTAATCAAGTAACTCGAACATACTTGATGGAATCGAGGTTCAATAGTTATAAAAGAGGAATAAGATACAGATATGGATGTACATTTACAGATGGGATGAGTTGAAGAGACGTCTTTAAAATTAAGGTATTCGGATAATGAAGGATTATTAATGATACGGCGATGAAGTGATTTGTCCACTAAATTATATCCAGCTAGGATTGTAACAGAAATGATGATCAAAAATATATACAGTCGAGTACCATAACGTTGATATTGAAGTTGTCGATCATTGCGAGGAAAATACTCGAATGTATTTAGTTCAACGATTATCTTTTTCAAAGCCGGTTTGAGTAGACGCAAACGCTCACGAACTAGAAATTGATATCATATAAAGTGATAAAAGAACCATAGCTGAACAGCTCCGGCTCCGTTTTTAAAAAAGATCAGCTCATAGGAGTCGGATCAGCTCTGTCGCTGTCAAATTCACTGAGAATCTACCCTAGACAATCATACGAAGTAAAAACATCGGGAAAAATTCGGATTCGATTCGAAGCCGACAACTGTCACGGGCTCTGGCATC